GCGTGAGGCACCTGCCGACCCTCCGGCTTCCCCTTTCTCTCGTCCGGTTTTCGTCACCGATCCTGAAGATTCTTGAGCCCCACGGGCTCCCGGGTGGCGCTGTGATTGGAGAGGAAAGGCTCAGGGGAAGCCTTTGAGGCCCGTTGGTATCTTCTTCTTTTTTTTTTTTTTTTGGTACCGGGGATTGAACTCGGGTCCTTGCGCTTGCAAAGCAGGCCCCCGAACCACTGAGCTAAATCCCCGGCCCCCTGTTGGCATCTTCTCAAGACCTCACGCCGCAGTGCACCGTCCTCACGAGCTGCTGACGAGCCACATCCCACGTCGGGATCCCCTCGCGAGGATGCCCGCGCCGAGCTGGCGCCCCAGACGCTCGTCCGCCGACCCCAGGTTCCTGCTTTACGCAGCCTGATCGCCGGACTTGAGCGTTCTCCCAGCCCTGCAAATTCCCAAGTCCAGCCTTGTTACAGGGTGTCTCCCCACGGGATACTTACGGGTTACAAAAGGGAAAACAGCAGCTTTACAGGCGGAAACGTGGCGGACGCCGCCCTAACCCTAACCAAGTGACCAGTCGATATCACCCGGGCTCAGCCAGCGCTGCACGACCTGGTCCACAGGGCCAGCGCTGCTGGGCGAAAAACGGGAGCAGCATTCAAACCCAAAGGGAGGGCAGCCTACAAACAGCTGGCCAGTGTCTTCAACAGTGTCAAGGACACGGAGGACAACGACAAGACTGAGAGGACACATCCCCGGGGGGGGGTGTCAAAGAGATGTGATCAGAAAGGACATTTGAGGGGCCGGGGATTCAGCCCAGTGGTTCTGCCGCCTGCCTAGCAAGCGCAACGTCCTGAGCTCCATCCCTGGTACCAAAGAAACCAACAAACAAACAGAAATGTCATTTGTGATCTTGGACTGAATCCTGGTCCAGAAAATGTAGGACAATCTGAGGGAACTAGAATAAGGTATATGGATTAGTTAATCGTATTTATCAGGCTAGATGCCTGGTTTTTTTGTTTGTTTCTTTTTTGTGAGACAGGATCTCGGTATGCAATTTAGGCTGGCCTTGAACTCGTTATATAGCCCAGGTTGTCCTGGAACTTGCAGCGCCTGTCTCAGTCTCCAAAATGCTGGGATTATAGGCGTGTACCACCATGCCTGACTAGATTCCTGGTCTTGATTATTTTGTGGAAGTTGGATGAAAGGTATGCATGAGCTCTGTACAACATTTGCAACTACTGTGTTTAGTAAATCTGAAGTTATTTCAAAATATAAAAAAAATTGGGTACAGGGATTTAGTTCAGTGGCACTGCACCTACCTCACAAGCACAAGGTCCTGAGTTTGATCTGGTACCATTAAAAAAAAAAAAAAATGGCCCCATCATCCACAGGGTGTGGTTGCCATGAGAATAGAAAGCTCTATACTTATTAAAGATCTACATAAAATAAAAAATTAAAGCTAAAATACAAAATAACATGGACCTTGACTTTGTCTGAGTGTACGATTATCAAATCTGTGAAGTTCATTTTTTCAAATAATTTTAATGAAAACCCCAGGAGGTATGGAGGGCGGCAGGCATCAATTTCCCACACCAAACTGGTCTGGCATAAGAGTTGGTGAGGTATGGACTGGGGATTTAGCTCAGTGGCACCACACCTGCCTTGCAAGTGAAAGGTCCCGAGTTAGATCCCTGGTTGGCGGGGAGTTAATGAGTTGGGCATGGAGGTGCATACCTGTAACACCAGCACTCAGGAGGCTGAGGCAGGAGGAGTGCTGTGAGTTCAAGGACAGCCCTAGGGAGTCACTGTCTCAAAAAAAAAAAAAAAAATTAATGACCTGCCAAACAAAGATGGAAAATTGCTCTGTCCGGTCTTACACTCAGGTCTCTGGGTTCCAGATTTACTATTCTTTATCTTGTATCAAAAACTTTGACTTCATTCTTTTTCCCTCACACTCATTTGCTTAACTGTCATTTAAGGTAAACCTTCCTTTACACTGTACTTTAAATTTTTTTTTAAATTCTGAGACAGTTTTGTTAAGTTGCTGTGGCTGGACTCAAACTTGCAATCCTCCTGCCTCAGCATTCCAGCTAGCATCACAGGTGTGCACCACCAGGCCTGACTATTTCCATTTCACTGCCTGTTAGAGAAGTGATTCTCACACCTGGAGCACACTGACATCTCCTGCCAAGCAGAGGCTGGCCTCCTGCACCCCGCGGTGCAGGACTGGTCTGGGTGTGGCCAAGGCTTTGGGAGTCTTACAAGTGTCCCCAAAGAGTGCAGCGGGAGGCCAGGCCTGCGGACCAGGCCAGTGCACAAGTGACTGAGGAAGGGGGGACCTGCTAAGGAGAGGCATCCAGGGAATCGGGACCCATTTGCTCACTGACGGTGACAAGTCACAGGAGGGGACAGCCTTGCCTTAAAGGACTCTGCCAGACACACTAAGATGGTTGCAGGAACAGCCTGAGTAGAAAGCCTGACAGGAGCTAGAAGGCTTGGTGCCGGGTGGGAGAAATGCTGGATTTTGGCCTTCGCGTCCTGCTGGACCCTCCCCTGTGGGCCGCCTACCTTGTCATGGCCACTCCGGGGCTTGGCACAGGACTCAGAAGTGACAATCCCCCCCACACTGAAGGGTTAGAAAACAACTTTCTCTGGGTGCAGTGGCACACGCTTCTAGTCCCAGCACTCAGGAGGCTGAGGCAGGAGGATCACTGTTAATGTGAGGCCAGCCTGGGCTACACAGAGAGTTCAAGGCCAGCCTGAATTACAAAGCAAGACTCTGTTTCAAAAACAAAAACAAAAATCCACTAGCCATGTGTGATGGTGTAGGTCTGTAATCTAGCACTGGGGAGGCTGAGGCAGGAGAACCTCTGCAAGTTGGAGGCTGGCCTGGGCTACATAGCAAGACCCTGTCTCAAAAAAATGGAACCAATTAATAAAAAAAGAAAACCTACTTTCCACATCAGCAGTAAGCATGGAGCTCATGGGGATGATTTGCCTGCCAGTTGGTTCCTCCTCCCTGCCCTGGAGAGAGGAACAGCCTGTCACCCGTGCCCCACTCCCTACCCACCTCCAGTTCACTAACAGGTCGAAGCAATCAGTGCGTCATGCCTGGCCTCTGGCTGATGCTACTGTGAGAGAGGGGCTGCTGGGACTGAGAAACTGAACACAGTGTGCCGAGCAGTCCAGCAGGACTGGGTCCTTCTGAAAGTCTCCTGATGCGGAAAAATAAAATTACATGTTTAATTTACGAAACCTAACCCCTGCTTTGCCTTGGCAGTCCTTTCCCCAGGCTTGGCCCGTGTCTGGAAACACCAGCACGCTGATTAATACCAGCTCGGCGTGTTCCCCAGACGCAGCCCTACTTACTCGACTGTTTGGGTGTTTCTTGAGTCAGGGTCTCCCTGTGTACTTCAGGCTGGCCTCAAACTCATTATGTATCCCAGGCTGGCCTGGAAGTCTCATCGCCCCCCCCCCAGCCTACGGGGTTCTGAGACACAGGCTGTCCGCACCACGCCTACCTACTTCACTGGTTTCTTAAGTCCTTTTCGGCTACCTTCACAGCATTAAGGTGCTGTATCTCTGACCCGGGCCCCCTCCCAGCGCAGGGAAGGCTGCCCGTCCCTAAGTGAGGGTCTGCACACATCATCCGAGACTAAGATGCACCACACAGCACGGTGCACGCGTGCTGTCCCTTCTGGGACACGTGAGCTCTAAGTGTGCTTTGGTCCCTGCGGGTCCTCGACGACCACTGGTAGAAAGCGAAGGAGGAGGTGCTTCCCAGAGCCCTGTGCACGGCACCCCTGTGAGGCCCATGGGGCCATCAAACAGCAAGGCTTGGAGGGGACATGGAGGACAGGAGGACTGGGGCTGGGCGGCCCCGACAGGGAAGTGTAAACACAGCTGCAAGATGGGAGCACAGTGTCCTCCTCCATCCCACCCCACAGGGAGGGCACCCTGCCAGGGGAGACAAACAAGAAAACAAAGCACAGCACAACTTGTGCGCTGCCGGGAGGTCACGGAGACCAGGGCTGTGCCCAGGA